ACCGATTTTCAATAACACAAATGTTTAAATTCCAAATAAATATTAATAATATTAATCACTAATTAATAATATTAATCACCATACAATGAATAAAGTATATTCCAAATTATAACTGTATATACCAGACATAACTAATTTTTGGTGTACAGGATGTCCGTATACTTTAAAAACAACGTTTGTTTTCAATCGTGGTTTCCCATCAGGTTAGGATAAAGTTGGTTCAGGCAGTTGCGAAAAAAATATAAGTTTATTTAAAAAATATTCAAATAATGATTCTGAGATTGGAAGGTAGCCTTAATACTTTTTTAGTTTATAATATTTAAACTTAAATGACGTTCAGGACGAATTTACTAAAATAATTTCAATAGCACCATGCAAAAATAAGTATTCATTTTTGAGACTATATATTAAAAAAATATATAGATTTTGGTGCTAATTTTAAGATAGAGTCATGAGCTAGTGTACTAGACAATAACCCAAAAATAATGAAAGGAGTTTGAACATTTTTACATGTACTTCAATAGTTATTTGTATTCCTTCCATCCTCACATTTACATTAAATATTTCATAACATTTCATTAGTTATTCAAGTGTTAATAGAAATTCATGTCGATATTGATAAAAAAATTAATTCATTAAAAAAAAAAAAAACATAAGAGTAGAAGAGAAATATTAAAAAACAAAATTATACGAAAAAAATATATTTTAATATTATATTATTATATTTATTGTTAATTATATTATTGTAAATATTTTAAAAAAGGTAAATGTGTGTAGATGAGTTGCAGCCGAAAATGTCTAGTTTTGGAATTTAATGCGGGTCGTATAAAAGAGACGTGTGGGCTGGATACGGCCCGCAGGTTGCCTACCACTAGTTTAAACCGATACGGACCAGACCGGACTATGGTCCTGTCTTTTTATCTATCGACAAGGTATAATGAGGATACTATTTACCTACTGTCAATTGATCATGGAAGTGTAATTTATCAAACTCTGAATAAAAAAAAAAAAAATTAAAAAATTCTGACATATTTCAACGGATGCGAATTATTTGGTCGAAAAGAAGAAACGTATGAAATTCAAGAAGAAAAGAAGCTCAAAACGTGGCAGTCAAGAAAAAGCCCTACAATGAGATATTGTTATGAAATCTGAAATAATTACTATTTGTATGACTTAAGTTAGTGTTTACTTTAGTTTTGATTTATTATAAAATGTTGTTTTGGCTATTTACTTAGTCTATAATTAATTTTACTAACAAATGTTTGAAATTAATTTAATTGAGAATGTCGTTAATATAGCTGAATGATTATTTTTAAGTTGCTGGGAAGATTTTAGAGTATAATAATTTGCTACAAAGTAATTTCGTTCGAAATTTAGAACAACAGACAAACTTAAAGTTTGTCCAAAAGTGAAGAACGTAATGATTTGGCTTAATTCTCGAAGCAGTGAATAATAAAATTCCCATTTGAAATTATATAGAGCATATATAATGCAAGTTAGTTGTTACGAGTAGGTTGTTTACTTAAAGCATGTTTAGATGGCTAGTAAATTAATTATGAGTGGCGCTTTAAGTATTATTTTATCTTACATAACTATCAACACGAGCTCAATATTTTCTATAATATAGCTCATAACACTGATTTATAATTAAATAGTTTAAAAAAAAACTATGGACGTAATAAAGAAAAAATAAAACGCAACTCACCAAATAATGTTGTTAACTATTATATTATGAAATAACAAAATAATATTTACAGGTTTTTTCTGAAATGATCGAGGAAACTAGTAAACGCATACTCTCAGGAGTAGCCAAATAAAGAATATTTTGAAAAATGTTTTCTATCTTCAAAACCTAGGTTTTATCTAATTATCTTTAGAACATTATTTCAAATATAAATCTTAATACTTGTTAGAGATTTCTTTTTTAAATCCCTCTTGTAAATCAATATGTGACATTGATTTTGGGCTTGTTGAGCGTTTTCCACGCTCGAGTTACCAGAATCAAAAGATATGGTGTGACATCGATTTATACGGTAAATCTACAAAATAAACAAAAGTGACATTTATTTTTGTTATTTTACTTATCTGATTAATTATTACGGTTTTTATTATAAAATAATTATAATTCAAAAATGTATTTGAAATTCAAAGAAAACCGTGTTAATTAATCAGTTTAATGATGTAAAAACAAATAAACAGTTGATTGTATTCAAGACCATACTAACAAACATATGTTATGCCATCTCTTTTTGTTCATCGCTAAGATTCTCCACTCTGCGTCCGGTACAGTTAGCTCCACATCTTTCATTACCTGGTTTTCCCATCTTATTCTTGGTCGTCCTATTGGTCTTTTTCCTATTGGAGTGCCACATTGTACTAAGTATATTAGTGATCCGACTTTTCGCCATGCGTGACCGGCCCATTAGAGCCAACTCCTCCATTTTCCCGTATTCACATTTAAGCATGGTCCAAAAATGGTCAAAGAATTATTCTTTCAAATATTAGTAGGTTGTTATTAGAGCTCTAATATTAATTACCAAAATTTCATAAAAATATGGATTATAAAATGTTAAAATAAGCAATTATATGCCATAAAATGTATTAAATATACTTACCTATTTTTTCAACAAATATATGCAAAAAAATTGTTAATATTAATTTAAAAGAGTAATTATTACTTTATTTTGAAAAACACAGCTAATATATATGGAAAAAATATAAATTTGTTTTCGATCAATTAAAGTTTAATTTTTCATTGGTTAAGCACTTTAATTATAGGATTACACTGTACAATAATAATTTTGCTGATATTTTCAAATTTGAAGGACCTTCGATGATCCAACAAGAAATTTTTGTAGACTGAAAATGACACAATTAACAGTAATGATTAATAATTTATAATAATATGGATAATTTTTAATATTAGGTATACTTATAATTTATAAAATATATGCTACTTAATCTAGAAATAATCGATCTATGCATTTATATGCTCAAAAATATCAAATATGCAAAATAAGTTTGCATATTTGCAATCGAGATTTCATAAATGGAATTTATATTATATTAGGATATAATTCTGATTACACGAAAAAAAATATGCCAAGTCATAAACATCCGGGCTCTAGTTATTATAAATTATTTATTATTAATTTTGATTAACAATTATTTTATAAATATTACCTAATTATTACATTATATTTAATGTCATCTGTTTACATTCCATAGTGGACATCTATTTTTTTCGTCGACATATTTTATATTTGAATCGAAAACATGACTACACTTCAGTGAATCTCAAAACACATAACTTCTATTCTTATACCATAGTCTGTTACAGTATACAATAACATAACATACTACACAAAAAAAGCCTTTCTTCAAGGCCACTGAATAACACACTATTTGGTGACTTACTAGTCACCCTTCTGTGATAAGACTCCGAATAAGATACCGGGAGAAAGGTAAAATCCGTATCTTTCCAACAAGACCAACCTCAACTCCGTGCAAAAAATACCGGCGTAGTTACAGATACGTCGAAAAACATAAACATACAGGAAATCGCCGTCCACAATAGTAGACACGAGTCGATACGGAAGATAATATTAGACAACATATGTACATACATATGTATCTCTCCAGGATGTTATCTCATTATCTTCAATCAAACACTTACAATCAATATCATATTAGAAAAACCGAAGAAAACGAGGACAGCGGACGAAAATTAACGTCCTTGGTTAAATAAATTATTACATTTAAAATAAATAGGTGATAATTATTTAAAAAGGATTATTTTATTTATCGAAATAAATAGTTCACATAAACTCTATCGTATCAAGTTTATGATCATTGTTATGAAATGTAATTATTGAGACGAACCATCATGGGATTTTTTTTAAATTATATCTGGACAGTTATAATATATTATAGATCGCCAAATGCGTATATTATATTGCGATGATTATATACGATATAATGTCAAATATAACTGTTTATTATATTAACTTTTGAAATTTAGGTCTCATATTGACCAAAGAAATTCATTTTGACACTATCAGTTTGTACATTGCGGTAGTAATAATAATAATGATAATAATAATTGTAATGGTCAACATTGTTTTAACTATAACGTTCATATTTTAAATAGTTAAAATAGATTATGGTTGAAGTGAAAACCAACGGTGAAAAAGGGCTTAGAAGAAGCTTTTCTCAAAATATAGTTTATTAGTCAACAACACAGCACAGTGATTATTTTCTCTGTAATTAAAATAAAACAATACTTTATAATGCGCATAATTATGTTTAGATTTTTATTATTTTTTTATTATTAATTTCAATATGCTAAAAGCAAATGTTACTTAGTCAAGAGACACGCGATGCTAGGTTTCAGATTAATAAACACATAAACAATAAAAAATAGTTGATATCTCACCAAAAACACTTTGTTATAACTCTGTGTAAAAAAAAGCTAAGAAAAAAAAATAGTGATGTTACATTTAGTAATGACTAAACCTTTAAACGACGTGATATAATATGGAAACTAAGTAGAATGTCATTTTTTAGTATTATAAATATCTATTACGACAAAATATTAAATTAATTGTAAAGTTAAACACTTATACAACATATTGCTTATTTGGCTGGAAGTTTAAATAAATACAAATGAATAATCACTATCGTAAATTTCGTAAATAATTCAATAATTTATAAAAAATATGTTGGCCAAGCGTTTAACTTTACAATTAATTTAATGTTTTGTCGTTATAAGTATTTTTAATATTAAAAAATTATATTTTACTTAGTTTCTATATTATCTCACGTCGTTTAAAGGTTTAGTCATTAATAAATGTAATAACATTATTTTTTTTTTATCTTTTTTGTACACGAAGTTATAACGAAGTATTTTTGGTGGGATATATTACATCAAAATAACTAAATTCAGTTCGCGATAAGTTGAGATTAGCTATACCATAATAAATTAATATAGACAATATATATCACTCGTATCGATCATCGCTGTCTTCGTAAGATACAACCTCTTTAGGACCATAATTTTGTCATCAAATAAACAGCAGCCTCGTATGTTGCCATCATAATGGCTGCGTTAGGTATCTGTTTAAATAGTTGTGTAGTCAGACCACGGTACAATCCCTTGGGACCCTCCTCGCTATAAACTGTTAATAGTGTCTGGAAGAAACTTCGATATTTGGTTCCTTCCTCTCGGAGTCTGGTCCTAGCAACTTCGTGGGGGTAAGCGATGCACGAAGCGATAGTCTTGGAAATGGCTGCAGCCATCATAAACCCAAGAAAGTCTTTGGATGACTTAGTGTTGTCTTCCGATTCGTTAAGTCCAACACGGGCAGCTATCAGTCTCGCTTTGATTGCTTCGTAGGTGACCAAATGCACTACTGTTTCAGATATTCCAAAGTACGAAGCTGTAATACCTTTATAGAAACCTTTTATGCCTCCAGATCTATAAATCTTTTTGATGCATTGACCGGTGGTGAGTCTTTTTCCGTTTTTGTTCAAGTCTAACTGTAGCCTAGTCTTGACTAGCCAAATAGGGTTGGTTGTTGAACAGGTAACAAAGCCTGCAGAGGCCGCTGATAGTACGTGTACCATTGGTGTACCCGGGTTAAGTACAGTGTTGAAAAACTTTTTGGACTGCGCGTAAGCATAGAAGTATATGGCTCTGGTCGGAGCGACGCCCATGATGTTGGGCACTAGTCCTTTAAACAGAGCCTTGGGGCCTTCGGTTTTTATTATGTGCCTGAGACACTGAACGAGCCCCATTGACTTCTTCGTTTGGCTGCCTACACCACATTGAGAAAACGTTAGTATTTGTGTGCTAGAGTGTCGGCCACTCAAGATGTTACATTTTCGTCGCTGCAGCGACGATATTGTTTTACTTTTCATGCGGCTGCCATCGCTGTCTTCAGATGCAATTCTAGGTAAATAATCGTAACGCAAAGCACCACATCTAGATGATGACTGTAACCTAGTCTTGACAACCTCCAACGGACATGTAACCACAGCACCAGTTGTGCCGGCCAACCCTCCAGACACGAGATGGATGACCGTGTCACGAAAATGCGACATGATGGTTCAGTCTTCAACGGGACGGTTGGATTGATGTAGGTAAAAAAAAAAAAAAATCTAGGTGCTGAAGTTTGAACAGCGTAAGTTTAAAAAATTAACCGAACTACGTATCACGGTTAAAAATATTATTTTTATATGGCATAAACAGACATGATTAATTGTATGTCGGATGACGCGAACAACATACATAATTCGGTGACGATACCATAGGCGTGGAGACGTACAGAAGAAACCGCCGGACGGGTTTTATGTATAATTTCGGCGTCATGGTGATATTTTTTACTCTCTACTACACAATTATATCGAGTCAAAAAATATTTATTTATTTAATTTTCATTAAAATATTAAATATAATTTATCGGTTAATCATATCGTTATCATGAACAATTTTACAATACACTTACCACTGTATATGGTATATACTTACTATATCAATCGAGCTAAATGGAAGCTGATGATTTGATGGAAAATTCAGAAAACTTATGAACTCGCTATGAATAATTGACGTTATTGAAGGTATCTCGTTTATAACCATAGATCATCGATGCAATTTATCATGGAAAAAGCGAAGCGTTTCCGTCCGTGTGCGAATGTCTCTGGAACTAATCACGAACAATATTATTGTAACACGACATGGTTGCGAGGTACTGAATCAAACAACACAATTTAGTTTACGCGCGTTGTCAGCAGAGTCGGACGACGCGAATTGTTTGCGAACGTTTGTTTTTTCACCGCAGCGAATCTCGTACTTCGATTTTAACTTACCAAACGGTTAGCGGTTTGAACTTCGATTCGTAGATGTTGACGCGACTACGCTGGACTAAAAAGGTATGTACTCAACACGCACACTGCGTTATTCTATGACCACGGATTGTTTCTTAAAATAACACGTTCGTGCAATGGTTTTGCCCCCAGTCGATTAGAAATTCGAGTACAGCGATAGTACCGATTTTTCAAATATTTGACCATCGCGATTGACGGCCGAAACGGTGCGCCGAGTTGTGTATACCTGCAACGCATCAACGTTGATTATTCGATCATTGTGATTTATCCCTTACGTGTTCATCGCCGCCATGAGCGTAACCGTGTAACGTCATAACTTGTTTTGTAATCAATACGTATGCACAATCGAACTCGTTTTAAATCTTTTCTCCTATTAAAATAAATTATTATTATAATATTTTAATTATAATTATTAATTGGTAAACATTAATCGAGCTTCACATAATTGATACATTTTAATACAAATGATCAAAGCTATATTAAATATTATGAATATTTATTAATATTACTATTGAAATTATTATTTGTTCAAATCATCCGATATGGGCTATGTTCTAATAATAATATACAGATTAAAAACTAATACCAAAAATTAAATTAAATATTAATCGTTTCCGATTTTTTTCGAATTTATTTAATTTTTTTATGGAACAAATTTATATTCATAAAAATGTCGAAGGACGGTGCGTTTCCCTGCGTTCCTTGATGAATATAATAAAGGGGTACACTTTAATACGAAGAAAAATTAAAAGTAGCTCAGGCCCCCTGCTCACCCCAATTTATTCACTGTATGTGTATATGAAAAAGAAAAGTTATAACGCACTCAACCCAGGTGACCACAGAAATGTAGCTTAGGGGAGGGAGCGAATAGTTGCTGAGTACCCGATATGAGTCGGGATCGGCTTCATATAAAAAAGAATTCTCATTTTGTGACTGACATGAAAAATCTGAAGGGGGGCTTGGCCTCCATTTCTCCTCTCTGAAAGTTTCTGCACACAACGGTTGTCATAAAGTTTTGATAAAAAAATACACACGACGACCGTACTTTATCCTTGTGCTGTTGGATGGTCAACTTTATTACAATCACAACTAGTCACTAGAGTGTGACAAATACCCGCATACACAAGAGTGTATTCCACGTATACGTTTTTAACACAACCACGGATTGCTTCCCATTTGTAGTTTTGGTTTGAGGATTCGGATTTATTTTTAGGTCCGGGATATTATAAGTAGGTAGAAAAAATAAAGTCGAGGTCAAAACTGATTTGAACTAGAATATAGTGATTTGTTATTTTTTACGTTATATAAAAGATATTATTTCTATTTTAACTGATTTTGAACGTTTCTTAAGATCTTGCACTCTTTAAAAAAGTTGTCATTACTAGTTTGTTTTCTCATAAGAAATGCTTCGAGTTCTAAGTTCTAACTTATAATAGATATTTCAATTTCAATCGTTCAATTTCTTCGCGATTGTTCCAAAGGCTTCTTATTTAATGTCGCACTTTCTCTTTTTGTCTAGAAAATTCTTCTTAATCCATATCTTGTTTGTTCGCTTCATTCCCGTATGAAATATCTGTGTCTTTTTTTTTTAAATAATTGTTTCCGAAATCGTTTAGTTTTGGATCTTGATTGGTTTTGTCATTCTTGTTTTTCTTTTCTCAAAATTTCCAGAGCTTTCACATTACTTTTTTAAACAGGCTTTTTTTATACAATTTTATTTATTTAACGAATATATTGGAAATTTATTGTTTTTACTTATGGTAGCTAATATGCACCTTATAGAATATGAATTTTTAAAGTATAATTAGTTCGTTTTTCTCCTATAAATTTCGTAATAATTGAATTAAATGACTCAATTATGTTACTTCAATGCCCTGTAATAAGCTTGAGCTTTATAAGCTCTTTAAAAATTTTTTCATCGCCTCACAAAACTCATAATCCTGGGATATTATTTTCTCAATATAATTCGGATAAATTAATATTTTTTACAAATTATAATTTTTTTTTCACAACAATAGTCAGCACATGCGACATGATAAATACTATTCATAACATCACTTCTTAAATCACTGATTGAATGCCCGTTCGATTTTCTATAACTAATTTCACTTAAAATACCTTTTCTGATACGTAATATATTATTACTTAGTAATTTTCTAAGCTCTAAGTTCTATTAACTTATCAGTTGATCTTTTTATTGAAATATCCTTTAATTTATTACATAAGTTCCTAAGCAAGTGGTTTTTGCAATCAACTTTTTCCGCCGTTATATTTTTGTAAGGTCTTGATAAGATTTTTTGATACACAGTACTGTTACCGTCTGTCACTGTTCTTCGTTATTTTTAAATCCTTCAACTATTATGGAGGCTTTCATTTCTGATGAGCTACTAGTCACTGGCCAATTTCTTAAGCATTTGTGAGGAGAAGGTTCATTACTACGTACACTAGTTTAACAGTATTTATTTCTAATAAGTTATTTAAGAAAATATATAAATTATTAATAAACAAATTAATAATAACACTATTATACTAACATATCAAAGAAACTATACACCTATAGATACTTTAAACCTCTGTAAGATTAAATAGACTTTGAAATTTATTTAAGTTATTCCCTTTGGATAAATATACGATAAAAAAATATACCAATAAAATAATAATACAATGTCTTTTTATGATAAAATAAAAAATCTCATTGTAATATATTTAATAAATATTTTTAATTTCAACTATAAAAATAAATTTATAAAAATAGTAATAAAAATAAAATATTTATTATTCGATCATGAAGTAGGCATTCGGAATCATTAAATTAGCAATAAAATGTATTTGAATTAATGATAGAAAAATAATTTTTTTTTTTTATTCTTAAATGTGAACTAAAACTATCTAATAGCAAACTGTCATCATCTGAAAAAACTGTTTACCAACAAATTTCTCAATTTATTATCAGTCTCAATTAAATTTAATTTCACAAATAACCTCTGAAATTAAAGTAATCGCTTTAAAAATAATCTCTTTTCCATAAACACCCAATAAACATAACGATTACATACCATTATTAATAATCTGTAATAAAAGTAGTCGATTTATACATTTATAATGTAATAGTGGAAGCTTAACGACGTCATAAATCCTGAGCTTTTTATAATCATTAATAGTATATTGTTTATTATTTAATCTATTTAAAAGAGGATTCATAATTACAGTATTAGTGAATATTTCAATTATTTCTGAATTCGAAATCAGTTGTTTTTAAAAAATAAATCCATCCACTGCGATTGAGTTTCAGTGGCATTGATAATAGTTTTCGTAATTTCAATTCGAGTAGAAAAGAAAATAAAAAGTTATTCATACTTTGCTTCGACGTTAAATGTATTATTATTAATTAATTTTTTGCATAATTAGAACCGAGCTATTTATTCAACCAAACAATTATTTACTTTTAATTTATTTGCAAATTATACTTCGTTGGCTTACTTTAAAATATAATTTTACAACTATTTACTACTCATTGCGAATATTTGGGTTGCAGTATTATTTTGTTGTTTATTTAAAGGTTCACAAATATTAGAGGCATATTTAAATTGAAATTAATAAATATAAATACTACAAGTGTCGATATTGGATCCATCCGGCAGGGCCAGATCTTGGGGGAGCAAACCGGGGCACTTGCCCCGGAAGTTTTGGTCAGGGGGCGCCAAATTACAAAATAAGTTGTGTATATATATTAATAGTTTTTATTCATTTTATAATAAAAGTATTATACAAATTACAATTTCTATTTCCATTTGACTTTATGGTTATAACAACAATGGGAAAAACTCAAAAACCCAATGGATATTATTTATCTACTAAATATATTTTCTGCAACTCATTGTATTACAACTATTATTAAAATAAACATATTATATTTCAATATATTAGTTGAGCCTAATTTAATTTATATTAAAATTAAAACTTAAACCTATTATTTTATTCCTGGAAATACGTTATTTGATATTAAAATATAATACACATGTATGCACGAGAAAATTAAATATCGATTAGAAATTATCTTTATATTCTAAGTATCAATTTGAATAAGTTGCTGAATTTATAAGTTTATGAATTTTTTTGTTGACAAATAACGAAATAAAACTAAACAGAAAATCAAACTATATTTATGTTTGATGGAATCATAAAATCAAATGTATTTAATATTAAAATTAAATTTAAAAAACAGAACCGAAATTAATCCACTTACTTGGTTAATTATTTTTATTTTACAAGCATAATGTTTATAAATTGATTAATTTGCATTTTCATTGAAATTAAATCATTGTTGACAGTCAAATTGTTTCTTATGGTACATATCTTAACTATCTAACAGGACATTTTTTATTTACAATAAAAAAAAAAAAAAAAAAAAAGTTTAAAAATGCTTTCACAAATGCCATATAGAAATGAGAAAACGATTTTCATCCATATCGACTTTATCCATCGCGTACGTTACGTAACAGTGACAAGCGCATATTAAATAATGACATATAAATAAAAGACCTGCCCGTCGGTTTCGTCGACTGACTTTTGGGAATTGTGGCAATTATACATGGGAATATTACGTCACAATAAAAGTAGGCTTTGTTGACTTCGTTCGGGCGATTAATTTATGCGAAATTTCCGATTCTTTTGCGTAAAACAGACTGTAATATAGAATATTGGGACGTTTTAACATTTATTTGCATGTATCAGTTCGTGCGATCGAAACGGACGGAAGAAAATAAACTGAATGAAATTTTCTTCACCAATAAATGATTATTACACCGGTACATGTATGTAAATGTGGTTTGAAAACGGGTTAACATTAGCTTGAGGTTTCGCGATTCGACCAAATCGGCTGTTTTCGTAAGCCGCGTCCAGACGGAGCAGCTTTTGCCGCACGGCAAATACGCGTCCACACGGTGCGGCATTTATTTCCCGATTTGTATTAAATCAGTTAATAATAATAATAATATATTATTCATAATTACTATAGAGTTGTGTCATTTTTAATGGTCAACGAAGTGTACGAAATCAGCAAGTAATCTATATTTTTGAATCTTAAAAAACATGAAATCAAAGATTTTTGAAAAATCATCATTGATCTTTGTATTTTTAAAAACAGAGAATCTTCAGTACCGACATAGAATAAAAATCAAACAGAATAAAAATTGTCTACTGGGGATTACTACAAAAATCAGTTTTACCTAAGTGAAAAAAGTTTGTTTTGTTACTAATTACTTAAAAAATAATTAAAATACCTACTTAAAAAATAAGTACTGATGCCGCGCGGCTTTGCCGAGAATACGTTCACACACACGTGGCACAGGCACAAGCCGCGCGGCTTTCCTTTGATGTAGACCGCCTACTAGGCCGATCGAAAATTATGCCGCGCGGCATCAAAAAAAGCCGTGGAAAATCTATTCATGTTTTCATACTCATGCCGCGCGGCAAAAGCTGCTCCGTCTGGACGCGGCTGTACTCTCATCGGGTACCCGATCCGGTCGTTGCGATTCGATTGGTGCGTAGGTTCGTACGGGCTTGCACGTGACGTAACGTACAAGTGTGTAGGCGCGTCGTGTGTTGTGAGTTCCTAACGTTTACAAGGCACAGGAGTGTATTTAGAGGGGGGGACGCGAATAGGGTGACCCCCCCCCTGAATCCGTATTTAAGGAATCGATTTTATACGAGATACACGTTTCAAATTTTTCAATGCGGATCATTTTATAACGAAATAAAATCACGCACGGCTGCGAATACTGAATTGGGCTTTTGTCGGTTCCATACATGGTGAAAAATCGAATAAAAAAACCAGTGTAACTTTGAAAACACAGACAGGTGTTGAAAAAGAAATACAAAAAAGTCGATTCGAAAGTGGATCCGGCATTAGATTATAAAAAAAAAAAAAACCCACAAATATTAAGGATTCACCTGATTTAAATGTTACCAAAAATTGTACTTGTAAATTTTGAGTTTGAATTAAAGACAACAATTTGAGTCGCTCCCCCCCCCCTAGAAGTAAGTCTAAATACACCACTGGGCAAGGCGCAACTTATCGCGACGACAGCAATTTTTTTTTTCCCCGGCCCGTAATTTCAAACGGAAGTATTGTCACTTGTCAGTTCAATTCAAAATCTGTTCAAGCAGGTACAAAATTAGTCGATTTCAGAATCGTTAATGTTTACTTAGCATAATGACAATTATTTATTGTATTATTGTATTTTATTTACCAGAACTCTGGTCGATATTTCCTTCCGTTCATTTTCTATTTAAACAATACTTTTGCAATCGGGATCTGCTACATTGTACGACATCGGATATTTCGTGACAAAATCTCATCTTCGGATGAGCAGTAGTGCCGTCGATCGCGGCGATCAAAATTTGGCACTTGCAGACCAGATTATACGATTTCCGTGAAAACCGATATTGACTACGCGTCATGGCGACCGTATTATCATGTGACGACCAGACGAACGTTACAGCGCCGTATCTATATAGAGGCCGACGCGAAATGTGCGGTCGCATTCGGGTTAAATTAAAATCAGTTTTTATGTGTAAAACAAACGCCAAAATAGAATTCGCTGAGGATATCACTTTGGGTAATTACGGCACCGGAACGTTACGCAATTGTCGCGCAGTCCTATACGTTAGGCAGCGCTGACGACCGACCGATCGCGACGTCCTTTCTGCGTATCCTTGCCGTGTGTTCGCTGTCGTATACAGTACCATCCAGTGGCGTATATATGGGGGGGGGATGCTTAGTGGGCTACAGCCTCCCCCGAAATGGTTCAAAAAACTTAAAAATTATTTTAAACATTTGTTATATTTAAATGGTGCTCTATGCTTTTTTAGAAATAATTTTATAAAAAAAAAAAAAAAAAAAAATAGAAAAATGATTCCAACCTGGTTGCATTAATTTTATTCAATTGTACTTCAATAGTTCATTAAAATGTTTCAAGGTTCACAATTTATGGTTCAAAGCTTATTATCAAGAGTTAATAATAAATAATAAATAAATAAATCATAATCGTATGATACGAGAACATTTTTTATTCATAGCATATTTTATTATAGAAATAGTCCCGTAGACACATATATCAAATAGTCAAGTACCACATAATGTACCCTTTGTTCATAAACACAGGATTATACTTACTATAGGAAATGCGCGAATAATGTGATCAGTTGAGACAATTTTTATTGCCTTTGTCAAATAGTTTTGGGACATTCTGCAAATTAAACGTAACCTACTGTGTCTTGTTAGTAATTCTTAGATAACAGTGGCAATTTAACTCTGTCCATAGTAGCCCCTCCCGAAAATATTTTCTGTATACGCCACTGGTACCGGCGACCGGTAACGAAAAATCAACCCCGAGCGGTGCCGACGGGGTACACGGTGGCGAGGGGAGGCGAGTCGTTCAGCACCGCCGCCGCACGGTGAGCCGCGTTTGACATTTCAGTAGTGTGCTTTCGGCCGTCCGTCCCGAACCGTTCTCGTTCGTTCCAAGCAACTGAATCTCGCGACCGGCCGACGACATCCCCGCTATGAACACGCATACACTTCGCGATCTGTGTGCCTGACGCGAACGTTACCGTCGTGCCCGAACTTGATATACGTTTCGAGGTGATCGCGGATGGTTTCAAGTTGTGTACGTGTTTCTTAACCCCTCCGAGACGGTTTTCGTTCGCATTTCTCTTAAATTTTTTTCTACTCTACCATTACCACGCATTTACCGTAAGCACACATAAGCACTAGCGCACGCACTCCATGAGCGCGTGACAATAACCCCCACTCACGTCTCTCGATTCGAAGCAGAGGTAAGTTTGGTTCGATTTTTTATATTTTCGTGTTTGTTTAAATAGTGCTACGTTCGCCGGACGTACATGTATGACGTTTATATTTCGCGGTGATGAGATTAGATCGTCTAGATAAAACTGTATATTATTTTTATATTGTTTACGGATGAAGTATGGACTCATCATGCTGACAATATCAGTGGCGTGTTTTGAGTTTTTTTTTTTTTTTGCGATGCCCTGACAATTTCACAAATTAATTTATTAAACATTGCATAAATGTATTAATTCATTTTTTAAAGTTAAAAGAAGGCGGTTTTTTTTTATGCCTATTCATCCGATACTTCATTACTTTCAATACCATCCTTCAATAAGATTGATTGATAACCCATAAAGTATTTTTTAAACAGAACAATTATCAATTGATTCAATTTTATAATTATTATCTAGTTCTTGGTAAAATAAAACAATAGATCTACTAGGCCTATAGTATTACATAGATAAGAATTTATCTTTTTTAATGACGAAAATGGTGTTTCGTTCTGTACAGTTGGTGTAGAATCAGATTGCAGATTTAACGATATACATTAATACATTTTCAAATCAGTATTAAAATATTTTATCATTTTATCAACATTAAATCATGTAACTCAAATAAAGGAAAGCATTATAAAAAAAAAAAAGTATTAATTTACGCCACTGGGTAATACTTTTTAGTCATCACTTGCATGGAAATCAATGAATAGGATGAAAATATTTATACAATTAACGTAGGATTAAAAAAGAAAGACATTTAAATCTTTTTTTTCTGCGCTTTCTCGTCCCTTCGCTGAATTTAACATAATAATAAAACTTGTATATTATTTATTAATTGGCAGTATTTGGTTATAATGTAATCTGTACAATATTAATATAAAATAATATTCAAAATTTACGAAAACATAAGTTTGTTTATATTTTTCATTGTGTTTTTTTTTTAATCTTTTTAAAACAATTAAATAATTAATTTTTAGAGTGTAATTCGCTTAAAAAAATATCATTGTAAGACCAATAAACCCCTCACTCCACATAGAGCTTAAAAAACCAACTATAATTATTGTTTCTTTTTAATTAACTTTTGACTCGTTAAATTTTTTCAACCCAACTTAATTGAGTTACAAAAATTAATTTACTCGGTTAGATGACTTACTATAATGCCGTTTTCTATAAATACGTCGTTGTTATAAATTTTCACAAAAAGATAAAATGAATTTATTATCTGCTCTTTTTTACCAAAATGGAATCATATTTGTACCTTTGTCAATAGCTACGGTCATTTGTCACGTCGAACCATCCATGGATAATAAATATTTGCATTTTTTTGTGTTCAGATAATAATTCTTTGCGTTCACATCGTTCAGTTTACACGTATTACTTATACTATAATTTAACCCTCCCTGCAATCCACCTTTCACAGTGATCATTACTAATTTAGTGTTTATTTTTGATAATGATGTGATGTGCAAATAGGATATTATTACACGTTGTTCAAATACACTAGTAATAGCTTGACAATATGTTGCAGGGCTTAATAATTCACGTTGTTAACATTGACCGTATCGTATTCAATTCTGGAACAGGTTTCCTTTTTTGTTTTTTTTTTTTTTTTTGTCTATTATCTTCGGACAAAGTCATATCTTAATTAAATAATTGTGGACAATTAATAATGATTTATCAATATCAAAGTCAGAAGTAGGTTAAATATTCGACAATGCTGTTTATCGATTCCTTGTCGCTCTTGACTTTTAGGCATATCTTAACTATGTGGGTTCGACGAGCAGTAAAAAAAGAAAAAAACGATTGTTTTCAATAATATTGTAGACATTATATTTTAGTAATGATTGCATTATTGGTATTATTAAAAAAAAAATTAAAATGTTAGATCAATGCTACATTATGTTTAATCAGATGATTATCATAACAAACTATAAAACTAAACAATATATCAAACAAAATATAATATAAATATAAACAAAATATCAAATATTTATGTGAAACAACTGCATCTTATGGTGCGTCTCCATCCACAACTCAGTTCGTTAGCTCAATTCACATCAGCTCTGCACGCCACTCACTCAACAATCGGTACGACGATCCCCCTAACAGTACCATATAATTTATCTGAAAAGAGTTAATACATTGGCCTTATTTAACACGTTCAACGTAGCCCGTGATTTCGGTGGTCATACCGCGACGTTGTGTTGAAATGCCATGGCGCATCGATGGCATTAGAAGCACAACTCTATTGATTTATAAAATTGTATTACATTTTGTTATTAATTTTTACTGTTTTTTTAGATCCTTGGTAGTCTTTATTTATATTAAATACATGTGTTAATACTACGAGTACTTATTAGATATTGGTAGGTGCGTAATAAATAATAGTTAAACTGAAATCAAAAAACTCGTCGTTATTATTATTATGCATTTCGTGCGTAACGCAAGATAAGACTAATAAAATAGTGTCTGAAATAGTGTAAAAATATCATAATAATGATATAATATGTTGTAAATAGATCTAAATGCGTACAATACTAGATTCTGAAGTATTAATGTCAGGAAAATTAAAACTCACGATTAACATAATTTTAGAGTTGATTGTCTACGGCCTATATAAGATTCAGAGTTAACTAAAATGGAAATCACTGAATTATAATGAATTATTAATGACTAACTATAGCAGTTTCAAACGTATCTGATTCGTAATTTTTAATTATTTAATTTTGGTATTAAATTAATATATATTTTGTAAATAAAGAATAATTTTTCTGTAAAAAAAATCTAAATATTTTGCATTTATTTATGCCATATTTATTTCCTTTAATAAATCATCCTTTCATGCATATTTTCTATACGAAATAGTTTCGATATTTCACATTTGTCAGACATCCCACGATGGCTCAGTTTTTTATTTAGAAAATGTTTACCTTTGCAATTTTCATATCAAGTAAACATACGAGCCTAACTTAACCATCGGATGTGGTTACTGATATGTGAATTCCATACATGGAGTTTTCTCTGTTAGATAAGGATGTGGCCTATGTTTAATAATTCATGCGTGTAACTTCTGATTATTTGTTGCATATATATTCTAATATATTTGTCCGTATGATTATTATTTTATACGCGATTTATACCAATCATTAACTGGTCCATTTGGTTAGTCATTATTTTAATATATGTACTATTGTTCACTTCTGTGTTTCCCATTCCTTGTTACTCATGTGTATCCAAGTATTGAAAATAAATGCATTGATTGTAACACCCTTATGTTGTGGTTAAGAGTGCATTCTGATTATTATATTCCTAACTGTGTACCACAATGTGAAATTATACATGCCGGCCATAGTGGAATCATTATGTTATTGTAATGCAATCGACATAGTATTTATATTCCTATATCTGTATTATTATGTGACAGAATGTATTCCCGTGACATTATAATATGTATGCACATAACACAATCCATATGTACATGTTTTCTTGTTTCGTCGACAGCATATTTTGAGCGTCGATTTTTTGTTAAAAAGACTCCGAACTGATATTGTAATTACACTCACCTCAGATTTTAATTTTTTTATTGTGGATATATTACTATACAAGACCATTAAAAACTTTGTTATGTATAAAGTGAATACTTGGTAAGCTTAAACTTTTCGCGTCCTTAAAAGCTCTTTACTTTTCTTCCTCGGTACTAAAGTGTGGATCAGTCTTGTAAAACTTCTACATCGATTTGCAAATTGTTTTCAATTTGAATAAAAGGCCCATAATATTAATCCTAATGTTTTACTGATTCTATTTCGATGCCTATATCAATTATATGACTGTTCCTTCGTCATAGAACATAATATTTATTTAAAGAATCCGTCACAAGGCTGTGTGATTATTTTTTATATTGATAAACCAACTACGTAGTGGTTCTACAGGCGCTTCTGAAGTATCGTGTAAAACTCATTTGAAATCCCTACGTGTTCCTGTCCCATTCCTATAGTTTTTATTCTATCTTTGTGTGCTAATTTAACGAACATTTATCATCCGGCAAAACGTATCACGCGAGAAACCATAATACTTACATATGTAACTCAAATACAGACGGTCTCGAACAATGTATATGCTAACGAAGTCGTAACATATTCATATCTTAATTTAATACGAGCTTTTCTGTTAGACTTTTATGTATGCAAATATGAATAAGGATAAGATATCGCTCTAAACAAATACAATTTAAATCTCCTGTTCTCTTTGAATTTATTTTTACCGTATATATTCGAATGTAAAAGTCAATAGCTTGTGCGATTTTTGTTTAGTTGGTACGAATTAATCTAGGATATCAAAATATTTGTGTATAGTATAAAACGTTATTTTAGTGTTCAGTTGAATGAGTATACACAGGGCCCTCGAGAGGGAGGGCATTAGGACTATTTTGCCCCAAGCTCCAAATTTTTGGTGGCCACAACATTCGTTTTTTTTTTTTTTTTTTGTTAATTACGATAGAGTAAGCTAGGTTTCAAATTATACATTATTATTAATATTTAACAAATAACTGAGTTATACATACTGATGTGCCATGGGTAAATACTTTGGGTATTTATTCACTAAAATATTTACCTACCAAAAATTTGGGTGAATATTTTTTTTGTCAACCGTGCGCCTAACCTAAGGTTAAAAAATATTATTTAATATATAAGAAAATTAGGCAATATTTGAAATATATATATGAATACTATATATTTACAATTTTTATTTGTGTATAGAGCGAATGCCAAACATTATGGCTTACAGTAGGTTCGGGTGGGTTTCTGATTCTTGAAATCTATCTTTAAAATGTGATAGATTATTCATTCCGTAACTGTTCCAAACAAGAATTTTTTAAATATTATGTGATAACACTCATTTTTAAACCTACTATTTTATCATTCCTTATTAATAAAAATTAAAACGATAATTTAGTGTACATTTGAACATAGGTGGTCAACAAAAAAGTT